CGCTCGGCCGAGTGCGTGCGCTGGTGCAGCAGCAGGTTGGAGGAGTGCGTGAAGGTCTTGGGGCAGAGCGCGCAGCGGAAGGGCCGCTCGCCCGTGTGCACGCGCTGGTGCTGCCGCAGGTTGGTGCTCTGCGTGAAGCTGCGGCCGCACACGCCGCAGCTGTAGGGCCGCTCGCCCGTGTGCACGTGCCGGTGGCGCCGCAGGCTGGACGAGTTCTTGAAGGCCTTGGGGCAGTCCAGGCACAGGTAGGGCCGCTCGCCCGTGTGCTGGCGCAGGTGGTACTGGTAGTGCGAGGACCACTTGAAGGCCAGGCCGCACTGGCCGCAGGTGAAGGCGCGCAGGCCGGTGTGCACGCTGCGGTGGATCTGCAGCAGGGACGAGCGCTTGAAGGCCTTGGGGCAGTCGGGGCACTGGTAGGGCCGCTCGCCCGTGTGGCCGCGTTGGTGGTAGAGCAGGGCCGACGAGCCCTTGAAGGCCTTGGGGCAGTCGGGGCACTTGTAGGGCCGCTCGCCCGTGTGCGTGCGCTGGTGGTGCAGGAGCCGCGACGACCAGCGGAAGGCCTTGCCGCACTCGGTGCATTCGTACTGTGCCGCCGGGGCGGGTGCGGCGGGGCCGGGCTTGTCGCCCGCGCCCTCCGCGCTGGAGGCGGGCGCCATGTCCACGTGCGAGCCGACCATCACACCTGGCGGAGGGGTGTGGTCAGAGGAGACGCTGGCCCTTGAAGACGCAGGGCCCGCCCCCGCCTGCCCCCGCGGGAGGGCCTCTCCTTAGGGCTGCCAAGCCTCCAGGAAGCCTTACGGTGGAAAAGCTGGGAACTAAGGAGCCGTGTGGTTCACTCCTGCAGGGGGCTGGGCGTGGCCTGTAGGTGGACAAACATTCCTTTTAAGACAGCTCCTCCAGTCTCCTAACAGTAAGCGGTGTCTCCAAACAAGTGCAAGTGGTCCCTGGGCTAACAGGTGGAGCCTGGCTACTTAGCCGCAGGCACTTGGAGCCACCCAGTGGCACGCGGCAGAAAGGCCTGGTGATCCGCACAGATCACAGTCCAGACAGCCCTCTGGGGTAGTCAGTCCTCGGCTCTGACACGCGGGGGCCACGAGCCCGAGTCGACTCCACAGCAGGGCTTGGGCTTTTGTTGGTGGCTGGTTCACAGAAGGTGAGGTGGGGAGGGGGGCCTATCTTTCCAACACCTTGGCCTCCGTTCCTCAGCCCTCCTCCTCAGAATCCTGTCCTGCGGCCTCAGCCTAAACTTTTCCCACCGTAGCTACAGCCTTTAGTGGTCTCTCCCTTGCCGGTCCATCCTCCAACACTGGCCATCTTTCCAGCTTACGCCTGCTGACGTCCCACCTCCAAAAAACACCCCCAGGACCGTGCCAGCTGTGCACCCCAACCCGGGTCCTTCCTGCACACCGGTTCTGACCCCTGGTGACCTCACGTGTTCCAGAGCAGAACTGCTCCGTAGGGTTGCTCTGGCCGTAACTGCTTCATGGAAGCAGCCCGGGTGATGGCACACTGGTTAAGTTCAGGTGCTCACTGAGAGGCTGATGGTTCAAACCCACCAGCTGCTCATGACCAGGTCATGAAAGACGTGGCAGTTGGCTTCCACAGTTTACAGCCTTGGAGACCCTGTGGGCAGTTCCACTCTGTCCTCTAGGGGCGCTGTGGGTCAGAATGGACTCCACGGCAGTGGGTGTGGTTT